CATAAATTAATTTAAACTATATATTTTAATAAAAACGCATACATGTATTAAAAAGTATAAAAAAAACTTAAATAATAAAATAAATAGCACTAATTAAGTTATTTCTCTTGCTCAAGTCAAGAGAGCTATAATATTAGAACATTTTTTTTCAGAAGCCATGCATCCAAAATCTCTCAGTAATATTTCTTTTGTTTTCTATATCTTTCATGCATATTGTTTTCTTATTTATTAAAAAATTATTAATGCACAATATCAGACAATACATAAATTTTGTAAAAAAAATTAAAAAAATGATAAGTAAATCTACAATATGTTTTTATGTATTTACAGGCATAAATCATTTGCTTATACTTAAGTAGAGAAATAATTATTTTAAGTAATGTTATTTTATTTGAAGAAAATATTACAAGAAAATTAATTTTGATATACTGTGCAAGTAAATGCTAGTATTCAAATAAATATATATGTCAATTTTATTATAAAAAGTTTTAAAATAAGTAAATATTTAATAAATCAAGCGAGATCGTGGTTGGATAGCTTTAAAAAAAAATATTTTAACATAAAAACAACTCTCTTGATTTGACTCAGAGAGAAAATACTTAATTAAGGCGGTTTATTTTATAGTTTAAGAATTAATTTATATTTTTAAACAAAATACACATTTTAATAAAAATATATAGTTTAGATAAATTTATGTATATATTTTTAAAATTATAAAATAATTTAAAATCTTTCTATTTTAAGAATTAACTTTTATAATTTTTAATAAAAAAAGATAAATAAAGAGTAAAAATGAAAACACCAATAAATATAAAGACTAAAAACAAATTTGTAAATATTAATAAGGACTTAAATATAAATTTTTATTTAGTTTGTAAGATATATTAAGGGAAGAACTAAAATGAAAAATGAAAAAATATGTAAGGACTACTTTTATGAGAAAAAAGAGTTTATAAAAATTAAAAATATAATTATAAATAAATATAGAGACTACTTTCATATTGAAATTGTTATATATTTGTTTGAATATTTTTTTGCATGTTTTTATAAAATTTTATTATATTTTTTATTAATTATTAGATAAAATTTTAAGATAAAAAATTAATTTAATTTTTTTTAAATTAAATATGAATAATTTAAAATCAAGAGTAACGTAATCAGACATGCACTATCAAAAGTTAAAAATCAAAAGTACAATTAAATTTATTTATTTTTATTCAAATTTCGTTATCTTTAATATATATGTATAGTAGATAAAACTGTTACAATAGTTATACATATATTATAAATTCTTAAAAATTATAAAGGAAACAACGTTATCGTTTTTTTCTTATATGTAACTTTTTATAAAAATATAATTATTTATGATAAAAATAATTTTTTTTAAAAATAAAATACTCGTATATATCACAGACAACTACGTAATATGTATAAACTTAAGAGAGATGCTGGACATTATTTTAATAATCATAATGTTTTCTCTCCTTTTACTAATGCTCTTGTATTTAAATTAATAAAATATATAAAAACCATGGTAAAGTTAAAAAATTTATTTATATTTATTTAGTTTTTTAATGCGGCAAAAATCAATCTTATATAATAAAATGTAGTATTTAAGTAAGAAGATGTCTGTTACTGAAGAAATATTTTATATTATCTTTTTCTAAGATATATAATTTTAAAATATATTTATTATTATTTTTATATAAATAATTTTTTAAAATATTATTTTTTAAAAATCATAAAAGTAATAGAATATTTTAGACAAATAAAATTTAAACGAATGACGATAAATCTATGAAAATATAATAATTACTTTCATAAATTCATCAATGTTTAACGTCTTTTTTATATATTTTTTTAGTTTTATATTTCCTGAATTTCTCAAATATTAAGGATATGTTTAATTGCTGTTTTAAAAACAGTTTTCTATTTTTAAAAATAAATTTTAATACAAATTGAAGCATACCTTAAGTATTTTTAAATTAATTTTTTTCTTCTCAACTCTCTTAAAATAATATTTTTAAAATATTATTTATGTTATTTTTTATATCTAAGATTTTACTTGTTAGCTAAAACTTTCAAATTAATCCTTTTCGAAATTGTTTTTCCACTTAAAATATACTATTATACTCAAAATATCAGTTGTTTGTATTTATTTTTTAGTCATTTAAATTAACTCCACATATTTTCTAGAATATTTATATTTATATTTATATTTATAAAATTTAACTAAAATTTAAAATTTGTTACCATGCAAAATTTTTTGTTAATTATTTTAAATTGAAGGAAATAAAAATAACAGAGACAGACATTGGTGTGTTTAGTACTCTAAGGACTGATTATATGAAATTAAAATAAACTACACACGATTTTGACGCTTAGAAATTGTTTCACTTCTTAACCTAACAAAATAAAAGTTAAAAAGCTAAGAATCATTGGAGTTGAAAGTGCATCGTGTCTCATCTACCAAACTATATTTTTGAGAATACGATTGAACATAAAGGTAAAGGATAAACGACATTGACATCTAAGTAGCAAGTATAATTATATCACAAACGGCAAAACATCTTTTGGTGGGTCGATGATAACATTATAAAGTCGTTAAAGTTTATTTTATCATCTCTGCAATCATGGTATCGCTTTTATACACTTCAAAATTAAGCATTTCAAACAAAATGTTCATTTCAAAATAGATACTGTGAATGTGCCATATCTTTACATTTAAGCTCCCACATAAATAGTTAGAATTTCTCATAATTAATTTTCTCAATAACATTTAATCACTTGGAAAAATATCGAATTTTTTAAACTTTGAAAACAGTAAATGTATTTATTTTTTCCTTATAACTAATCTAATGAATATTGTTTAAACATTTCTGAGGAAATCTATAATTTTTTGTTCTTTTCCAATTAGTAACCTATGTGGTCGTAATTACACGGATATTGCCATCTCTAGCAACTCGAAACTACGATAACGGCGAATTTAAATATACCGATAGTTTAGATTATTGAATGTCCAAATCAGTAACTTAGACTACTGAACACATTTAAGTAGTTTATATTATTTTATTTTAGAAATATTCATATATAAAGATTTCTTATAATATTATTATAAATTTAAATAATTAATAATCTTTTTATAAAAACAATAGATAAATCAAAATGTCTCATGCATCACAAGGGTATGCTTACTAGTTTATATAAAAAAATATTGAAAAAACATATACAATATATTTGAAATAAATGGATTGGATAACTTACCTTATTTAATAAATAATTAACTGGTCATGATAGTTTAAAGGTGATATGTTTAATCGAAGATCTATCAAGAATAATGAAAGATATTAATTGTAATTGGGTTTGATCTTTGTACTCTACAGTTTTGCCATGTCTTTAATCTCCATCGCCGCGTTAATCGGCATTATTTTCTTCTCTGAAGTTGAAGCATGCGACCTTCATCACCTTACCTTTTTAAATGGTTGCGCCCTTTCTACCTCCATTTTCTTGTCGTCCCGTTTAAAGCATTTTATCGCCTCTGTGATTTGTCAAACTTTCATTTTCAAAAAAGTAAAAATTAAAATTAAAATTAGAGTACCTAAATAAATTTTATTGAAGGGTTTAAACTTTTTAAAATTTTTTGGAAGTTAATTTTTAAAGAAAAATAGAATGAATGAGAAGGCTAATTTAATGATAATCTTTATTTGAGAATTTTTATATGAGATGAGAAATTTTATAAATTTAAAATTATTTTAAGTTTATATTTTTAAATTCTCTTAATTTGAATTTTTTTTATTAATCTTCAATTCTTCATTGATCTTCTCTTTTCTTTTTCTCTTTTACCCTTTACACTTTTTCTTTTCCTTTCTTTTTAAATTTTTAATCAAAACCTAAAATGATTAATAGAATTTTAAGGAACCATTTTATAATAAATAAATTTATAGGAAAAATTAATATTAAACATCGTATATATATATATATATATATATATATATATATATATATTATGAACCTAAAGTTGCCATGAACATTTGAGAGGGCATTAGTGTCCCTTTAAAGCAGGTGAAGACAAAATATATATATATATATATATATATATATATATCTTTCTATAACTGTTTAATAAATAAAATAAATATTAATTAAAAAATATGTTTGCAAGTTTAATTTTAGTGTACCATTAGTATTTATAGATATAATTATTTTTACACTAATTGTTACAAAATGAATAAGTTTAACTGATTTGACGATTCATAAATGAATGATAATATAAAAAAATTATTATACTCTCTGTTTGTTCAAATTAAATTCCATATTTATTATCTTAAATATATGCAAATTGTTTAATATTTTTATTTAATAATCAGAAAGATTAATGTATTAAAGTTAAGAGAATTTAAAATTGTTCTTTAAATTATACATAAATATATAAAAATCTCATCAAATAAAACTAAATTCTCCTATTACAATTTTTTTTCTAATTATTTTGCTACTTATCGAAAGGAAAAATTAAATAGACTTTATGATTATATTTATTTTTCATTTAATACTCATTTTATGAAGTTTTAGAAGGTTCATAAAAAATTTAACTTTATATTGTATTGATAATATTTTTACTAACAGTATTAATAAAATACTTGTTTAATTATTCAATAAATGCCAAAAACTTTTTCTAGCTCATAGTTACTTTGCTACAAATATGTTATATCGGTTAGAATCCTTACTTTTCCTTGCCTAAATGCAAGTTTTATTTTAATATTTGGTGCAAGTTTTGTTAAGTACAATCATATAAGAATTGAGAGGTTCTTTAAAGAAAGTATACATCATCATCGTTAATTAATTACAATAATTTGTGAAATAGTAAATAACTTAATATTAATCCGTAGTTTTAATGTCACCGCCAATACGAATTTAGATCATGTAAGTTTTTTAATAACATTCATAACTTTTAAGTTTCTTAAAAACAGTAAATAATGAATTAAAAACAATTAAGCAATACATTTTGAAACTTGACTTTCTCTTATCCATAACTTAGTTAAAATAATTTAGTCCATAAGCAAACCATAATGTACATGACAGAGCTGAAATGGTGATTAGGAAAGTGTAGTATGGATATGCCTATGGTGCCAAACCAAAAGCGTTTTAGAGGAAGTAGCCATATAGTTCCAAGTAACAAATGTGGAAATTCCAGGGATTAGTGGCATCGGTAGTGGGTCCTGTGAGAACAACCCGGAAATATCTGAAAGGAAGCAAAGCCTCTGAGCCAATTATGGGCCAAGAGGCAAACTGACCCCGTTTGCATACTGTCCTATCATTTTCATGGACTCTCAAGTTCGTCCAGCTCTTCCCGTCCAGTGAGCCCTGAACATTTTACACACCATAATCAGTTAACCCTTCCCTTTAAGTACAAATATTATATTGTAAATTTTAACACGTTAAGAGTCACCACTCCTACTTCTATTAGATAATAAGATAGAAAACTTCCAGAGAGCAGGGAGGTCTACCTGAATATTCCAACATCTCGGAAAGGCCTTGGATCCGTCCTGTCTAAGTGTATAGTAGTTGCACATAAGCTGCATTCAATGATTTTCCCTTTTTTAATCAGAATGCTGATTCCATCTAATAAGTAATATCTCCTCGTACTGAGGATCGGTTCTACTGGCACTTTGATAAATGAGATTGGAGGGTGGCAATAATGTCTTCAAATATTACTTGCTCAGAGTGCATGATTAAAAGCAAGTCAACCAGTTACTATAAAATAATTGAAACATACACAACCAGCATATTGCATACCTGATGATCCTGGCCAAGATCAACCATCCACCAGGTACAGTTTTGTCCATTTTCCAATCGAGGCCCAGCAAAACATGTTCCCTGTGATGGCCACATGAAGTTACGAACCACCCAAGAAATTAAGAGTTTAACAGTCAATTACAATTTACATGAAAAAATTAGCATACCTGGTAGGTTCTTGAGACCAAAACCTTGGGATCCGTGTATCTTGAGTGAGGGCTGCTGGCTGTAATGGTAATTTTCTTTGGCTGCAACACATAATTTAGTGAAGAGCATGCATAAACAGTTCATTGACCAGCTTCTAGCATAGAAATTCCTAAAAAAATTGAAAGAGGAAAAGATAAAGCAGATGTTCTACCTCTGCCAAAAGAGGATTAACCCATGGGTGTTCACCATAGGATGTGCCAGCAAAATACAGAACTCCATGGTCGTCTCCATCACAAATGTACTGGAGTTCTCTGTAACTGGACCGTCTATGTTTGAATCTAACACTACAACAAGAGTCAATGTAAGTTAACAACTATTATACATTCCTAAAATGTTTTTTCTAATGTGTTTACACATGTTAAAAGAGCAAAAAATATATTTTTTTTATTGAAATTTGAAAATAAAGCATTTATTATATTAAAAATATAAAAGTCATTCAATGCTTTATTTTTTAAAATAATTACATGTTTTTAATACTTAATAGGGTGGATGTAATGACACTTGTCATGTGCTCATAACCTCACATTAGAAACAGTATTATCAAATTTACTCAACCCCATTTCAAATTGCAAACTAGGATACACACGCAGTTGATTTTTGTGTCAGTTCATTGCCATAAGCAGGTTGGGACACAACTGTGAGCATTTTGGGAGCAGAAGCATGGTGTTGAGCACCGTAGGCACAGTAACACAATATTTTAGGTAGAGCGTTGCAAGGTTTTGGCAGCACAAAAAGGGCACTAGCCACAACAACAGAAGGGTGCAAAACCACAGATGTTATTGTGATGGAAGGTGAGAAGGGACAGCACTGGCATGCAGAGTACGTGTTGTTGGGAAGGGGAAAAATGTTGGGCACTAATGAAAATTAGAGTTGGAATTGGATAGTCTGACCTAATTGAAAATAGAGACTGGGAATCAGATAGTCAATAGAAAAAAAAAGGAAAAAAAACATTTAAAGTGTTGAACTTATTATAAGTGGGTGTTTTTCCGTTAGTTAAAGACATCATTAACGCTAAACCCTTATATTATTTATTCAATTTGTTTATTACTTGTAAATGTATTATTGTTTTGAATTAGAAATGTAAGTTTGATTTTTTAAATTAGCGTAATAACTATGTACTCCCCCCAAGTACTGCATACCGGTACTGTGCAGTATAGCTTTGATCACAGTACAGCTTTGATCTAATAATTGTTCCCTTGACCCAAGGAAGAATTCAAACAAATGTACGTGTGTCTGAACTAGAAAATTGTTCCTCACAAATAACAATGCACCCTAAAACTGTTACATGGAGGCAGATAACAAGCACAGGAAAAAAGGAACAAGGATATATATATATAGAGAGAGAAAGATCCAATTGATTAGTAGTCAAGTTCTTATGGATCTTGAAATGGAATCCCCTCTATATCCGCATAGGCACATAAGTTTGTTGAATAAGAATGAGAAACCCAGAAATAACGAATCAGAATTCACTAATAAATTATTTTCACAATCAAATAAACTCTTGTGATTTACCACAGAAGCTACAATCTAAATTTTGAAAAATTACCCAATAAAAGTGCAGTGCATAACTTAATTCCCCAATGAAGAAGTTGAGGAGACAAACGAAGATGAAGAACTTACTTCTCTTCATTTTCTTGTCCTGCCAGCCCACATTTAACAAAATTGATGGCCTCATTAACCTGTAACAAATAAAGTAACAAAATAGTTATTCGAAGTTAACATTTACAAAATCACATTACACATCCTGCCTGAATTAATTGGAACAAGACAGTAAACTTACAAGATTTTGGAAAACAGGAATATGCTGCCCAATGTTGCTATTCTGCAACTGCACCATTAAATAAAAATCTGTAGTTAGAATAAGAATATCCTTTTTATATAAACAGTCCAAAAATGTCTGAATGCAGAGTATACCGACCTTCTCAAGTAAGGAATATTGTATTAGTGGAAATCGCACAAATGCCAACAGGTCATAAACTAACCCAAGCCTCTCACCAAAAAGGACTTCAGGTTTTGAATTTATTATTAACCGATCTACAACTTCCCACCCAAATAATTCTTTTGCATTCATGCCAAACATTAGGATTGCATTAAGAACTTTCTCTTCAGATGTTACAGTCAGATCCGGATGCTGCAAAATCCAAATATAAATTGAGAAATTATCAGTCAAATGAACTAATATTACAAGAAAACCAACTAAGATAGACAATTTTCTGATGTATAGTAGATTATATTTAAACTAACATTCAGGGGATTTACAGAAAAAATTAGTGTTTAAAATAAGTGATTGGAATTATATCTACAGTTTTCAGATTAAACAACTCAAGCCTCATTCAAATTGCAGATGCGGGGATTTGCTAAAATCCTGTTTTAACTTCAATGGCATATCTATATAAGTAAAAATCTTTTATTCTTTATGCTCCCGACCCACCAAATTTTTCTGATTTACGTGTAAACCAATGTATATGAAGTCCTGTTTAGAAGATACTGTGTGTCACAGTTATACTTCCTTGGATTTACCATCAAATTCAACAAAATGGGCAACTTGAAGAGAAACACACCTTAATGATATTGATGAAAATTGTCTCATCTAACAAAACAAATTCAGTACTCGCACTGATATAATAGTCGAAGTTCATGGAAATTCTCCTCTGCAATGTTTCTTTAATAGGTCTACATGATGAGATTGCAGAAACCACTTGAAGGAGTGGACATACTGAGTCCTGCAACAATGTTCAACAGTTAGCTTCAAAAGCTATGGTATTATTAGTTGCCAAAATTGTCTGCTTCCTCCTCCATTAAATGTGTATAATAGAAAAACTCTGTTGTATGACCTTCACCCAATAGAACTTCATCCCTGCATATAATATGTAGACAAGAAGTATCAATATCTTAGAATTGATTACTATAAAATGGATCTCTTCTTTTGTTTTCATCAGTCCGAAACCGCAACTCTCTTCTCTGAACAGTTAGTTCAAGTGACATCCACAGGATAAATGATTCTAAGTTCTAACTTCTAAATAAGTATTGATTTCTGTTGTGAGTTAAGATTACCAAACTACCTCTGAAAGACATTCTAATAGCATTTTGCAGCATTCTTGTTGAAGAAAAGTCACTCCAAATTGATCAGCTAATAAAAGGAGTTGGAGCAAAAAGGCACCAGAATCTATAACTTTGTCATTCAGTTGTCCATCGTATAAAAAGTCAAGCATAGCCTTGAAAGCTTCTGGTGGCACATCCCTTAGAGTAACCTCTGAGGACATGCTTTCACTCATTCCATTTGTGAACATCTGGGAAAACAACAAGATCTTTACCTTAGCTCACATTGATAATATGCAAAAATAAGTAACCACCGCGTAAAACATAGTATACTGAAGTCACATGACTATTACTTGCATAAAGAGAAATTTAAGATGCATAAAGATAAGCCAAATGCTTGATTCTGGAAAACATGCGAACTTGCATTGCAAAGACATAAATAGAATGCATTGGACATCGAAGCAATTTACAATAGTATTGAGGTGTTAACTAAACAACCTCACATGTCACAGGATTAAATTTTGTAACAGGGCATGACGAATACCTTGACTCAATGCTAAACGTGATATTAGTTTTATTAACCTGATCTAATTTGTTAGTTGTTCCTTCGACCCAAAAATGTAACGTTGTAAGCAAAACATATCCTTCATATTTCAGACTCTGTCCATTGTAGAAGACAGAATTTTGGGAGATTTAAAAAATCCTTTCAAGGTTTTGTTGGATATACAGTTCATCACTTTTAAACTGAACTATCATGTAACTAAGTTTAACTATGTTAATACTTCATAAAAGCAGAAGCATAATTCTTAAGACACATAAACCTTGCTATTACAAATCTTCAAAAAAAAAAAAAAAAACCCTCAAATTGAGGGGATGGCAGCTCACATTGAATCAGATAAAAGATTGTAAAATTGGCTCACCCTGGCAAAGGGGATACTCCATAAGCTGAGAACAATTTTATGTGCTCGTGTAACAAACCCATAACTCTCAATGTAGATATTCACATCACTGTACTGCCCTGTTAATTTCAATTGTCTCAGTCTCTGAACGCTGACAGGAAGTGAGGGCAATGTTGAACAATGAGCTTGGATAGATGGATAGGTTAACTCCACATTCTTGCCCTTATCTAACTTAAACCGTTCCATAGTCTCCTCGCACTGCTTCACCAGTGGCATCACTTCAAATTGTAGACTTAAAGCCCTCAAAGAACCAAGTTGTTCCTGTGGAATCTACATGATACAAAGACACAACTACCTTAAGAATATAAACATATAGAAGAGTACATATAGCAAATAAAAAAATCACTCAAGAAAGAAGTAAGAAAATCATCTTAACGAAGTCAGAAACTTACCCTGTTATATGAGTCTAATATAAACAACAAAATGATCAGTGAAAAAGAAAAGGCAAACATTCACATGCACAGAAAATGGAGAATGAGAAATATTTGTAGCAGACAGACAATGATGACCTAAATATCCAGGTTTAACATCAATAAAGCAAATATATATATATATATATATATATATATATATATATATATATAAAAGAATAAGGACTTAAGGAGGAATGAAGCCCCTACCTGGGTCCAGCCAGCGTAGATGTAGTGAAGCAGTGCATGGAGAAGCGGGTAAGACACTGTGGGTAGTTTGATGACAAAGGGGGAGGAGGAGCAGGAAGAAAAGTTTCCAGATGCAGCTAAAATTGCCTTATGAGCAGGAACGGGTTTTTCCTCTTCACCAACGATGAACAACACGTCAGACAAGTCCCAAGTCTCAAGAAAATTTTTGAGCCCCCATTTGTCATAATCCTTGTGTTTGTAACTGTCTACTACATCAACCTCATCCTCAACTTGGTAATCACCAAAAACGACATGCTTCCAAAGTGGCAAATGAGTGTGTGTTAAAGACAAGACATTAACATTTCTATACCTAACATGTTTATCCCAGCTGCTGAGACCAATATACCGAACATTACAGTTGGGATAGGAATCCAACCATTGGAAAACAACATCCTGGAAAGGGTATTTGCCATTGCCTATGCTAATCAGGCCATCGTAGATGCTGATCCAATAACTCTGAAAGGAAGAAGAGCAGCAAAGTCCAACCCCTGCCACGTCGACAACAGCTTTTCCATTAACCTCAATTCTGAGTCGTCGATTCCTGTGACTCCCCAATATGATTGTGTAGTGAGGACTGCTATCTCTTTTGTAATGGTAGCCTTGGCTTCCCACATTCTCCCGGAAAACCAGCGTGACATCGTTGCAGGCGAATGCTTCGAATGCCACGCAACCCCGACCAGCTTCCCGGAACTTCAAATCCTCTCGCCACGCGCACTCAAATGGCGGCACCGTCAGGAATTTCTCCGTCATCTTTATTCTTCTACTCAATCGAGAGAGATTGTGTTGTGCGTGTAGTCAAAATCCTCCTATGTTCAATTTATTAATAATAGTGAGGTAACAGGGAAGAGAAGGGAAGGGAGGGGAAATTTAATTTCATGTATGATAGGAATGGATGTTAGACTGTGAGATGGAGATATCTGAAACATCACTGTCTGAAGACAACATATCTAAATAGATAATAGATAGGCAAAAACAGCTACTAGAAGCTTTCAGAGCTGACCCCAAATCTAAGGTAGAAACAAGGGAAAATTGTTGATGTATGGATTAACGGTTCTCAATCCTACGCCACATCCTCATCCAACCAAGGAGAAATATCTATGCTGACTAAGATCCTCGTAAGAGAAATGACCAAAAATGATTTCGGAAAACATCATATATTGTCAGCTTGTGCGTATCTTTGCCTGATTGGACATTTGTGGGACCATCCTCGTCAGCTAATGGCTCAGGCTCAGCCTCAAAGGAACAAACAACATCAACCATCCATATTTCATGATCATATTCCACCTATAATTACTTTTTCAGAATTAAAATTACCTTCCACAACGCTCAATCGGCATGGATTTTTTGCTTTGGCGCCACCGTCGCGTCACCACCCTGCCAGTGCCTTCTCCATCTTTCCTTACCCTCACTGTTGCGCACCCCTGTCCCCTACGCTACCACCGCCTATTTAGAATGAAATTTAGAGTGAATCACTCTAGTTATTGATACTTTAAGAATAAGAATTTATTATTTTGTCCTTTTCATAATTTTTTGTACAAAGAATATTGGTATTAAAAAATTTTAAAATTTGATTAAATTAGGTTTTTAATATGGAAGATGATATAATTATTGTTATTCTTACGTAATTATTTTTCTCATTCATATTTAAGTAATACATGAAGAAGGGTGATTATAAAGGAAAGGGATAACTTATAATTACTGAATGTTTAGTATATTATATGGATATTATTATATTAAAATAAATAATAAAATTAGAAATATATTTTATGATAATTTTAAAATGTAATTTATTTTATTAGTTAAAAATTAATAAATACTTATTGTAATAAATCAAAGTAAATGAAAGAAAAATGTTTTAAATTTTAATTTTGAATCAAGATTTTAAATTAAAATTAAAATAAAATATTGCATTTTAAAGAAAACAAATTAACACAAAATTAAATGTCTAATAAGAAATAATGCAAGTGGTGCAACAAGAAAAAAAATAACTTTATTTAAATAACTCTTAAAAATACTTTTGTTTAAAAATAAATATTCCACTTTAATAAATAAAATAAATAATAAATTTAATTTTTAATTAAAGACATGAACAAGGGTGAATTATGTTGTTTACAAAGATGATGAGAAGGATTATATTCTAACTATGATTGTTCCTGTCTCATTATTATTGATTTTAGCCAAATTTAGTCAAAAAAAAATTATTATTAATTTATAAATATTACTAAAAATTTTTTTCACTCTAATATTACATGAATTTTTTATTTCTATAATTTTAAATTTTTTTCTTCCACAATGATGTCATATGACAATTTTTATTTTTAATATTTTAAATTTATTACTTCATTTAGATTTTACTATTTTTTTTCATTTATTTAAGTTATATATTACTTGGAATTTTTTATTCTAACATTTTTAGCTTTTTTTTTTTTAATTTTAAAACTTTTACACCGTTCGTGTATGATCAAGTTCATTCAAATAACGTATAAATTTAATAGTGTTAAATTAAAAAAGATAAATTAATTTAAATATATATTAATATTGTAACAAAAATAAGTAGATATTAAGATAATACTCAATATTATAAAAAAAATATTTTGATAATATTTTTTAATTTAAATTAAAATATATAAATAAAAATAAAATAAAATTATTTGCCTTCAAACTCTTAATTTTTATATAAAAATTTAAAAAATTATTAGATTTGATATTGCCAATTTCTACTAAACACTAGAATAAATTTAGAATATATATCATGAATCGATTCTTTTGCGAAGTAAATAAACATAATTTATTTTATTAATTAATTATAGCATAAATAGGCTTATGGTGCAGTACTTTTTCTGGTGAGGTTAAAAAATATATGTCTAATAAAGTGTAGCGAATAATTGTCGCAACACTTGTACCGTAGCCTGGTAATATTACTAATAGATTGGGATTTTTTATATTTCAAATAAAGTAATTAGAAAACTTTCAATATTTTTATGTAAAACTATAAAAAAAAATTATCAATTTATTTTATATATATAAGTCGCACATAAAAAGTGGAGCATTATTTAAATTACGAAATTTTTAATCTCTCAACCACAAAACATAAGTATTTACTCAATGAAAATAAGTTCAAGAAAAATACTTAAATACATTGTGTCTTCTATTTGTGTATGTTTTGATTTATAGATCGCTTAATTTGCATTCTTTGCTTAATCTTTTTTATTTTTATTTAGATGATATTGATGGCCATATAGTTAGTGTTTAGTTTTGAGGTTAAATGATAAAATTTCAACTTAAAAATTTAGATCATAATTTTTATAGGTAACTAGTAAATATGTCCGTGTGTTGCACGGGTTTATTTTATTTTTATTAAATTAATTTATTTTAAAATATAAAATATATAATTTAAATATAAATATATAAATATGGTAAAAAAATTATTATATTAAATATAATTACTCTAAAGAAGATTATGAAATACTTTTTTATATATAATATTTTTTGTATATTCTATATATTTGTTATCTTCTTTAATAATAAATACTTTTATTTCTTTTATTAATATTATTTTAGATAATGCAACATATAATTGACTATGATTAAATATAGATTTTGACAAATATAATCTAATATAATTTAATAATTATCCTTAATAAAGAGTCTTGTTCCATTGCACATTCTTAATGTGGGATTGATGTTCCTAGGTAGCATAAATGACATTTCTTCTTTGAGTTGCAAGCAATTGGGAGGAAATCTGTTAAAATTTAAAGTATTCAAAAATTTTACAGGATACATAAGCTTTTGTTTAATGATTTTATTTTATTTATTACTTACAATTTTAAAAAAATTATTAATATTTTAGATAATACAACATATAATTGACCATGATTAAATATAGGTTTTGACAAATATAATCCAACATAATTTAATGATTGTCCTTGATAAAGAGTTTTGTTCCATTGCACATTCTTAATGTGGGATTGATGTTCCTATGTAGCATAATTGACATTTCTTCTTTGAGTTACAAGCAATTGGAAGGAAATCTATTAAAATTTAAAGTATTCAAAAATTTTACAGGATACATAAGCTTTTGTTTAATGATTTTATTTTATTTATCACTTACAATTTTAAAAAATTATTAATAAATAAGTAAGCATAATTTAAATTTATGATTTGTATGATAAAATATTAACTATAAAATTAGTTATGATAAACTCTATAAGTGTGTAATTGAATTATATTAATAAATAAATAAGCAAATATCATTACAGTTTATAATATTAATACTAATATATGAATGAATAAATTTTTATAATTATTCTCTAATTAAAATAAAGAAGTAAATTAATTTTAAAATATGAAATAATTTTAAATAATTATTTTTTAATGTAATAATAATAGAATTAATAAAATTAAGATAATATTTATTAAGATGATAATAGATTTAATAATATGTTGCATCTTAAAAAGACCAATAAATAAATAAATAAATTTTAATTTAAATAAATAAATAAATATATATATATATATATATTATACCATCATTAAAATATTTATTAGGTATGTAATTATTTTAAAAAATATAAATACAACTTGTTGTTCTCTTACAAAAGTATAAATAATAGTGATAGATTTGATACAAATTAATCTGTTAAAAATAAAATTCAATACATGATATTATTTAAAAAAATTACAGCTTTATGCTTGGTCAAAAAATTAAATTAAAATATATAACACAATTTAGTGAAACAAACTAAAAAATATCAAACTCAAAAATATATGTACTTATGTGGATAGGTAATTCTTGACAGCTAACATGATTGCAAAATATAAAGAAAAAGGATGACAATAGAAAGAACCATGAACAGTTTTCAAAAGTTGTGTAAACATAACTTATATAAATAGAGATGAAATCCTACTTGTTGATATATGAAAAGTCAAAAAATAAAAAATTAATATAATAAAAGTTATCTTTTCATTAGAAATTTAATTTAATAATATATAATATAAAAGAATAATTAACATTCAAATGTTAAATAGAAATTAAAAACATAGATATATTTTTATTTATAAATAAAAGATAACTCAAGAATTTTATCAAAATTTCTTAAAAGTATTTTTGTACAATTTAATTAATATTTTTTTTTATTTTTAACATTTAACATAGAAATTTTAAAATTTGTTTAAATTATTTATAATAAGTTTTAATAATGTTTTATTAAATATTATTTACATTAGTTTTGTTATTATCATTTTTAACATTATATAATTATCAATTCTAATAAATTTTTCTTAAATACAATTTAAAAATAATAAGTATGAATTAATTATGATTATAATTCTTAAATTATAAAAATTATTAAAGTGATTTTAAATTATCTTATTTGATCTTAACAATATATAATATAAACTACTAATTATTTAAAAATTTAATAATTTTTTATCAAGCATCATGTCATTCACAACAATATTAATATAGCCGTTTTTAACATAATATAACCATCATTTTTAATAATTTTTTTTAATTACAATTTATCAATTATTATCATCATAATTATTAAATATAAAATATAAATAAAATATTGTCTACATTAATAAGTTATACATAATTATGATATATCAATTTCTATTAAATTAGTTGTAAAAAAATAAAAATAATAGAAGAAGAAAAAAAAATATTAGTTAAAATTTTTTCAATTAAGATTTAGGTAGAAACTAAAAGAGAAGAATGATTTTATTTAATATAAATATTAATCTTTATATAAATTAAAATTATATAAGTTGATATAATATAAAGTTTATGAGTCACATATAAAATCTAGGCAAATTTTATGTTAAAAATAAAATCAATACATAATAATAATAATAATAATAATAATAATAATAATAATAATAATAATAATAATAATAAAGTAAGAGAAATGTATATAATAAGATAACAAAATTATTTTATAAAAAATTTAAATGTTTGATGACATTTTACTTTTCAAATTATACATAATATTAAAAGTATTTATACAATATTG